TTGAAATTTTAAGAAATTTTTAAAGTAGGAATCAAAAATTGCAACCCTGCATCACCTGTTTAAAATACAACCCTGGATCAGCCGTCGTTTGGGGGTATTAGAGCAGGACAAATACACTTTTTTATATGACACTGCTGAATGAGCGCAACAAAGATGTATGATCACATGTATACGTACGTAAGTGGATAGAATTTTCATGCGGCCTATGGCAAACTATATATGTATACCCACTGATTACCCACTGATTATCTGGTTTTTTACCCGCTCATGGTTGGCAGAGTTATTTCATTTATATACATACGTATATATGTATATATACATGTGCATAAAGGTGTTTGTATTATAAAAATAAATCCAACATAAAAATGATTTTTCAATATTAGTATATTTGAAAATATGTATTTTACAATATCATTTGGAATAAATTTCATGTACATAAATATACTAAAGAAATTCCTTAATTTTCCAATATTCGCATTTAGTAATCTGTACCTCGCATGGTATGTAGAAGGTTTTCTCTATTGCTTGACTCAGTAAGGTTGGAACATATGTCAAAGATAGGTCTCAGACAAAAGTAAATACATCATATTTTACAACCTCCGATAAAGGTTAAAAAGTAATCCAACGACTAAAATTGTGACTATGGTTCTGTTATTGTAACAGTCAAACACGCGCAATTTTGGTTTATTTGATTCCGTTCTAGTAATTTTAATGTGCACCACTCTTCGAATCGGAGAAAATATCGATAATGTAATAGATATCGTCGAGGTCGGACTTCTCGTAAGCACTGTTTTGTCCAGCAGCTAAAAACATAGATACCACACGAGTTAGTACAATAAATCCTCACGCATCAAATYTTCATTTGCGAACTGCTGGATCACAAAAAACCGGTTGGACCTTCCACGAGGAAATTACTCCAAACAYACGTCGAGGGTTGTTTAGGACTGAGTGCTTTATTAAGCTCCGAGATAATTAAACCCCACAGCAAAGCCGATATTTGAATATAATTGAACCTTTCTGGGAAACCAGATTCACTATTCTCAAAGAGAACATAGAACTGATTAGAATAGCATAACATCTGCAGAGTTAACGAATTTACAAGAATCGAAACAACGACGGGTTAGAAAAGTTATAGACGGCAAYCCAACTACGATTAATACTAAAGTGTTTCAGAAGTTAATTTTGTATTTAATKTAAACTTTTTGTAATGCAATTTTTGAGTTTAATAATTAATTTTTGAATTGCTATTAAAATACTACTACTGCTAAGTTAACACTGTATCCACAAATTTTTCTAAAAAAAAAAGTCCAATGTTGAAGTTTTTACTCGTAGGAGGCAAAACGAAAAAGGCTAAATATGATATTGTAAGAGTTGTATGAGTACTCTCTTCAATGGGAAGCATTGGATTTTCTAGTACGATTCTGCTGCAGCGCATCACGTAAAAGCACCCAGTTTAGAAGCAATATGCTATTTTCATAGTTGCAGATTATTTCGTCGATTTAACCCTGTTTGAATTGATCATCCGAAAGACCAAATTATAATTCTTTGAACTAGAGTTTGTGGTCAGAATTTAAACACATGACCAGTTGAATACCCAATACTTGAATAATAAAAATTTTGGGAGCCTCAAAAAATTCATCTAGCATCATTGTCAATACCAATATAAATTTAGGGGTTTTCTACTGATAAATGGCCGTTTGGGGGCTTATGTGAAAGCAAAAGATAACCTTTTCGAATACAATTTTGTACATCGGTGTTTATATCATGTATTACTAAATAAAATTAACTTTAATTAAAATTTGTTATAGTTTTAATCTTGGATGATCGACCGATATTCTTCTCGGTTTTATTTTATGCGTTTCTTGACACAATAGAACAAGTGAAAATAACTACATATACAGTAGCGGACACAAAAAAGGAGGACACCTTAGAAATGTGTAATTATTTAATTTTATTTAAAAATGGGGACTTATATAAAACAAAATTCCATGAAACTTGGTTCATATAAGTATTCGGAACAGCAATAAATAACTTAGTCCAAAATAAATATTTCCATATTTTATTAGAAGCCGAAATAAAACATTGCCGATATTTCAATTTATACTATGACAATTATAAAAAAATTTCTCAGAACTAACTTTGGTTCGACCAGAGGACTCGTATCATCCTGCTTTGGAAATTAACATCGAAACCATTGCCAACTTTGCTCATAATAATACACAAGACCTTTGTTTTCGKTTCAACTTTGCGAAAGCTAATTTTAAGAAAATTAATTACCAACTTTCTAAAGTTACCTGGCCATATTACAGTGGCAACATTGAATTTAGTGCTTCCCACTTTAATGAAACTATTTTAAACTTGTTTGAATTTGAATTGAATTATGTAAATCTCGTGCTCTTAGACTTAAAAAAAACTGGTTTAGTTGCTGACTATTCAAAATATTCTAAATTGCGCCGACAATTTGCTGAACTTAACAAAATATGTTATAATAATTATATAAATAATAATATTATACGTAATCCAAAATTGTTCAATCGTTTCGTCAACTCCAAACGCAGGATTTCTAATTTTCCGTCCGCTATGAAATATAAGTCTAGTATGTCCAGTGACAATCACACCATTTCTAATATGTTCGCTGAATTCTTTAGGTCCAATTACTCTCCAAAATCTCCAAAAAATGTTCCGCATAAGCACAAGTTATGTCCGATTTCTGTCATTAACGCACCTACTATTTCCGAAGCAGACGTCTTATATCAGTTAAATATATTAGAACAATAATACAATTATGGTCCAGATATGATTCCCTCGTGCTTTCTTAAGAAATGTGCGAAATATATATACCAACCCCTAACAAAAATATTTAATTCATCTCTTATGCAAGGCTTATTTTCATCCATATGGAAAAGTCATTTATAATTCCTTTGCATAAGAGTGAATTTAGGTCATCTATTGAAAACTATAGGGGAATAGCAAAGTTGTCTGCAATACCTAAACTTTTTGAAGC